CCCTGCCCTGCAGAGGGGTGCCACTGCCCTCACCCCAGCCTGGTGAGCTTACCAGCCCTGCTCCTGGGAGGCAGCAGTGCCTCCCCCTCCCACCTCCCTGCTTTCCGCATCCAGCCACCAGGGATACTTTGATTTAAAAAGGTTGAAAACCCCTGCCTTAGATCAATACGGCTACAACCTACACCCCTGAAACAAGAGCCTGAGGCATTCTTCGGCACCTTAGAAAAACCTGAGCAACAGAAGCATCAGTGCTATGAGCAAACTGATGCAGCAGTTAAGATTCAGATTACTTTTTATAAGCTTTCTGTATGACCTGAAGGGCTAGAAAGATTTTTTTAAACAAAACCTGAAATTCTACAGAAGTAAATAGCAGTTGCCAGGGAGAGTTTTTGATTCACTCTGGGCAGTTAGATTAAGTGCACGCCATTATTATAGAATTTGCAAGAATGATTTATTCGTATCCAATTTAGCTTGCTTTCTCCATTTTTCTTAAAATAGGATGGTGAACGGTATGCTGTTACAAACAGCGTCTTCCCACTTCCCCCCATACTTGTTTTCAAGTATGTTTTTATAGTATGCACTTGTTATTTTAGTTATGTAGCTATGGGAACATATGTTGCTCATTCCAGTCATCAGGAATCTGTCTTTCTTTGCAGTAAATTAGGACATTTTCTTAGCACTGTCAGAAATTTGAGGGTTTTATATAAATTATTGCAGTAATCTAATTGGAGCCTTGGGACTTCACAGTATTGCAAGCCTGGGTCCTCTCAATTCCTTTAGGATTTCAACAAATAAATAGAAGGAAAACTGAATTTTACGGGCTATGACTTGTGTGGGTGAACCTTTTCTGAATGAATATATAAGTACCCTCTGCAAGCATGCTTATTAGTCTGAGACTAGAGTTTCTACTTGCCCGAAGAGTGACTGTAAAAGCTTCTAGCATAAAACAACCATAGGCCATTCCACGTACTACATCATATTTGTCTGAATCTGTACACAGTCTGGGGCCTCAGCTGCTGCCGTGTTCTCTCAACTCCAGCTCTGGCTCCTTAATTCCCACTGCCTGGCTGTACAGAACAGTGGAGGAGGTCTGCTATAATCCATTTGCCTGTCTACATGAAGAGAACAAGGGGCAGCTGCAGGCAGGTCCTGACAGGGCAAGGGAGTAAAACTAAATGTCACATGTCTGGCTGCAGTGGACTATCATATCCCACTGCAGAAGTGCTCATTTCCCTGGTATTTTCACAGCCGTGGAATCATGGGGATCCAGTTGAGGCAGTTCACCACTGTCAGAACTATCATTTCAAGCTCCCTATAGACATCATTGCAGTGGCTTGCTCTTTGTTTATGTGTAAGGCTGTAGGGTTAAATGAAAAATATGAATGCTCAGGTTATGAAGCCTGACTGCACTGGGGGTAAGAGTGATAGTTTCATAGATGTTAGGGTTGGAAGGGACCTATTAGATCATCGAGTCTGACCCCCTGCCCTGGGCAGGAATAAGTGCTGGAGTCAGATGTCCCCAGCCAGGTGTTTGTCCAATCTCCTTTTAAACACCTCCAAAGAAGGGGACAGCACCACCTCCCTTGCAAGCGTATTCCATATTTTGGCAACCCTCACTGTAAAGAATTTTCTCTTGATGTCCAATCTGAATTTGCTCTCTTCCAGTTTGTGGCCATTATTTCTAGTTACACCAACAAGTGCCCTGGTAAACATTGTATCCCCTATTTCTTGCTGGCCCCTGCTGATGAGTTTGTAGGTGGCCACGAGATCTCTTCAGCCTCTGCTCAAACAGTTGTGCCAGCAGTTCTGCTATGACTCTAGCTAATTCCCTATGTGCCCTAGGATGAAGATCATAAGGGCCTGTTGACTTAAATACATTCAACCCCTCCAGCTGCCCTTTTACTAGGTCAGCACAAACATTTGGTGGGTTGGTATCTATCCTGGGCTTACCGAAAGTCCCAGTGGGATGTGTATTTGTATTCATGTCCAGGAACATGGAAGCAAAGAAATCATTAGAAGTTCCGCTTTGGCTGTCCTATCTGTTACCAGTTGCCCTAGTTCATCCTGAAGGGGCCCTAAGTTACCCTGCACCTTATTTTTGCTTCCTGTGTACTTAAAGAATTACTTTTTGTTACCTTTAACTTTTGCTGTCAGCCTAAGCTCCATTTCCACTTTGGCTCTCCTTACTGTTTTCCTGCAAACTCGAGCCAAGCAAGTATACTCCTCCTTGGTGGCAGCCCCCTGCTTCCAGGGCCTGTAGGCCTCCTTTTTTTCCCCTCCAGGCTCTCCTGGATTTCCCTGCTCCACCAAGAGGATTTCTTTGCTTTTTTTGCCCCCTTTTATGTGTACTGGGATGGTCCTTTTCTGTGCTTGCAGGATTAGTCCTTTGAGAAACGCCCACCCTTCCTGGACTCCCCTCTCTCCAAGGCTTTTACCAGTCAGTCCCTCCCTAACTAATCTCCTGAGCTTATTGAAGTTGGCCTTCCTGAAGTCTAGCACTTCTGCCCTACTAGTTATTTTCCCCACCTTTGTCCAGATAGTGAACCCTATCAATAGGTGGTCACTATCTTCTAGGTTACCTTGCACTTGCAGTTCCCCCACCAAGTTGTCCCCTGTGGCCAGTACTAAGTTTAGTAAGGCATTTCCCCTAGTGGGAACATGTACCTCCTGTGATAGGTGAAGGTCCTGTAAGGAGGTTAGAAACTTTTGTGCCTGTTTCCCCCAGCAGATGTCTGAGAAGTTAACATCACCTATGACGACCAGGTCCTTTGAGTGCGCTGCCTCTGAGAGTTGTCTCGAGACGCCAACTACCAAGTCCCTTTCACCCTGACCCCCCTGTAACCTGACCTGTAGTATCTCAGTTTGTCCTTCTTCCTGGCCCAGTTTAACTATGGAAGATGTATATTGCCCTTTAACATAGAGAGCAATGCCTCCTTCCTTTTTTCCCCACTCTGTCCTGTCTGCACAGCCTGTAGCCCTCAATGTCCACTGCCCATTGTAGGTAGGATCCCACCAAGTTTCTGTTAGCCCAACCAGGTCGAATTCTTATTTGCATGGTCATGGCAGATTCAACTGTTGCAGAATACATGGGACACAACCAGTAATACCTAGCGAGGAAGGTGGGCTGTCACTCAGAGTTCCATCTAACGACTGGGTTTCTTGAATCAAGATGAAGCACCTTCAGGCTATGTCTCTTATTAAAAACACTTAAAAACTGGCACTCACTTTATCTTTGATGCTCATATATGCTTGTTATTTAAAATTAAAGAATATAGCTGCTGATGAGGCTGTAAAACTGCTTTTGCTCCTTTTGGCCTGCCAAGCTATCAGTAACGTTGTTCACAACATAGGGAGCCAAATTTAGGACCCCACAATGGGAAGTAACACAACCTAACTTAATCTGGGTCCCACAAAGCCTGTGGGGTTTACTGTTCATGAGTCATATTGGACCATGCACTTGATTACAGAGCTCATCTTAGTGAAACTCTATGGACCTTCATATGCTAGGATTAATTGCAATTTAGTTCAAAGTAATTTGCTTGGGCAGCCATCTGCAAGTTTCTGTCCCAGCGTGCTTGCAGTAGAAACACAGAACAACTCTGCTTTGCAGCAATATTTGTTATTTCCTAATAAATAAAGGAATTCTGACCCACAAAGGGAAAGAAAGACTAAAGTCAAGCAAAAGCTTCTTTATGTAGTGCAAAGCATACCCTTAGGGAGATTTCTGATATCATAAAGCCTAGAAACACATAAAGAGGAGGGAGCAAAAGCTAAAAGGCTGATTTTACAAGGACAAGACAATATAATTTGAAAATGGATGTTCTAAATTCACCAGCTTCTTTCTTAAGGAAGAAAATAATTGTTGCAAGAAAAAAAGTCTTTGATTGACAAAGTTAGACTAGTATGGTGTACTACTTAGGATGGTGGCATATTTTGTACTTCACAGAAATCAGTGGTATTTCAATTTAATTCCTTTTCCTTTATCTTTTTCAGATGGAACAGATAAAAAGGGCAAATAAACTGTTTACCAATGACTGTATATTTCTGAGGAAAACCTTGAATATTCCAGTTATATCAGAGAAGCCGTTACTGTTTAATGGACTCAATTCACTGGAATCTCCTGAAAATGAAACTATTGACAGTTCCCCTTCATGTGATGAAGGACCAGTGACATTTCAGGAAGACAGTAGTTCTTCTCCCAGTCCTCAAGAATCTGACAGTCAGCCTGCTGCACCTGAAGAACTGTCTGCCAAAGATTTTCTACAGAGACTGGACTTGCAGATTAAGCTGTCCAAACAGGCAGCCAGGAAACTAAAAGAAGATGATATCAGGTAAACGCTAGTCTAAAACACCAAGCATCTTAAATTTCAGACTAAAAGTTCTGTCTTTAAATCTGAGTTCTGAATCAATTTTTGTAGTATGTGGTTAAACAGCTCTAATCAATCTACAGATGACAGATTAGATTAACTATAGCAGAAGTGTCAAAGATATGGTCTGTGGACTGGATCTGGCACATGGAGCCTTATCATCTAGCCCCCAGTGCTGCCTGTGGGTCTTGAGTGGACACACAGGCAGCATGCAGAATGCACCAGATGGCCTTGTGCACCATATGTGGTACCTACTCAAGCTGCTCTGGGAGTGCACTGCACTATACCCAGTACCTGTTTCAGCGCACACCTGCTCTGTGCAGGATGATGCATTCTGGAACATCAAGAGCAGACATCACATGCAACATGGCCCTGGATTGGGCTGTGTGCAGTGCAGTCCCAGAGTGACTTGTCTGGGACCATGTAGCACATGGTGTCCACTCTGGGTGCTCCAGGATGTGCGCTGAATCTGGCATGGAGTAGATGCATGCTAGAGTGGGTGCCACATTCAGTGAGGTACTAGAACAGTCTGTCTGGGACATGCATCATGTGCAGTACCCAGTTCAGCTGCTCCATGACAGGTGCTGGGTCTGGCATGCAGGGTCAATCTGTTGGCCCAAGTCTATCCCACAGGCCAGCCCCATACCATTCATCTGGCCCATGGAGGCAGCCGAGTTTGACACCCCTGATATGTAGCATCCACATCAGTAAGAATAGTGTAAGAACCTGTAAAGAAAATGGTTGGAAATGAGCAGTGTATGAATCAGACAGGTGCTAATATCATCCAGGCACTGCTATATTGTTTAAGAGCTGGATTTCTGATTTAGATGTTCATCTATATAAACCCTGATTTAGTGAAGTACTGCAAAGACCATGTGCAAGATAAAGGTTTATAATGAGACATTACCTGCATTCCCAAGGAAAAATCTGCAGTTAGGCCACCAGTACTATAAAGATATAGTATGTCCCATTTTGCACAGGTTTTCCTTTCACAGAAGCAATTCCTTCCTTTCCCTTGATAGCATTCCTAACACATGTATGTTGTCCTCATTAGGAAAAAAGTGTTAACACTTGCTCTAGCGAAGGCCAGGTTCTTGTGTCTTCACCTCATCTCTTATCAATCCCCTTCAATGGGAATTAGCTCTTGCAGGGATTTTCCAGAGTGCTGGCCTCAAGTGCACCAAGGGTGGCATTTCTACTGTCCCTGCTCAGTGCTGTATGAACCAACTTCCTCTCTCTCCAGAGAATTAAATATAAAAGTCTATTCACATAAATATTTTATTGTAGTCAGATTCAGGGTATTACTGTAATGCATGTCTATGCAATCTTAGTTCAGGAACCCCATGTAGTAATGATTTCAAATGACAGTATCTGGTAAGTAGAATATTTATGGGAGGGCATTTAGCAATTCAGTTCTTGGATGAACTTGTCATATCAAGAGTCAACTTCATCTTCCTTGTCGCTCAGTAAACTTAAATATGCATTCTCAGGGTAACTTTCACATGGAAAGTTGTGGATGTTCTGAGTTCAGCATCTCATCTAGAAAGCACATTTGTTTATAGGGTTTACTTTCTGAACTGATAATGTAAAAGCAAGTTCTATCCTGACTTTTTTGATATGGCTCTGTACTTGACTGCTTGACTTGGGTTGTGTATTAATGCTGCATTTCCCCCTGGAACTGGTTTTATAAAAGTTGCTCTTGGATCCAGACAGGTTTGAATCACTCAAAAAGTAAAGAGCTTTCCTTCCCACTGCCCCACCACTCACTTTATTTAAATACACAATTAAAAAGGGAATGTAAATTTCTTCTTCCTTCCCCAAAAAACAAAAATGCATCTAATGCTTGCAGAACTTCATCACAAAGTAACTGGCAGGAAACCAAGTGGTGATGGGGAAACACCTTCAGAAAGTAAAAGCAGCATTGGATACCTAACAAGCAAACACTATAGTTTAACAAACCATTTAAAATGTATTTCTTTGTGAAAATTCTGATCTTTCCAACTTCTCTTCTGCTAGCAGTTGACAGAACTTTAAATCATTGCAGAGTAGTTATGAATTTCTCAAGGAGTTGAATATCTCAAGAAGTTACGCCATGAAGTCCAAATTTGTAATTCACTTCCATTTCCACACTTCAGAATGCAGGAGTCACAGCTTTGCTCTAGTATTCTGTTTTGGTTTATCTATTTATACAGGCATTCAAATTTAGGATTCGGATTTCCATCTTCTCTCTCATGCTTGGGAAATTTAGTTCTGGATTCCTGTCCATTTCATGGATTGTTTTCATCTGTAGCCATCAATGAACTTGCGTCATCCTTAACACTGAGAATACTGTGTGCAGGGCACCACTCCAACAGCTGCTCCTGATATTTCTCATGATAAGCCTGGCAGAAAGGCAACATTAGCATACAAGTAGGTGTTGTTGACTTGGCAATTAAGCTGGGTTGACCGAGACCACAGCTCCTCTACAAGCTCTTAACTTATTTTAACAGATCTTTCGCAAAGTGAGATTTTAACGTGTAGGAGGGAATTCATTTTGGGACCTTGACAAGCTCCATACAGAAAGAGCTGATGTGGTCAGAGCGACTTCATAAAAGTGGCACCATTACTGCTGCTCATATCAGCTTCCTGTGTCTTGAATTATAGCTTGGAAAACCCATTTTTATTACTGCATTTTCTCTGTAGCGATTATAGCTGTAGAAAGGTAAATTCTGTTCTCTGTGCATCATTAACAAAATTACCATTCTAAATCTGAGGTGCAGATTTTTATTGGTTGTGATGCTGTTACACAAAGAGCACAGCTTGAGCCTGCACAGAAACAGGTTTGCATTTATAATTTATGGGAAAAAAGCAAAAAAGACAGAGTAAGAAAAAAATATGGAACTCTAATGGGCAGCACTATAGAGTTATGTGCAAGATTTTTATCTTCCTACAACTTTCATTGATAACATGGGAACACAGTATTAAAGCACCATCCACAACAGAGAAAAAACAAGCTCTTGGTGTATCTACACGTGCAATTAATGCAACACAAACTCCGGAGCACTTTGAGCCAGGGTTAACTGCTCCCAGCACAGTGTCTACATGTGTGCCCAGGACAGCAGCAGTTTGAGCTGATGCAGAGCAGGGCCCTGGCTGGATGAGCTGCCTGGGCACTTATGCCCCTGGTCACTGTCTACACATATGTGTTTCAGCATAGTAAAGTACTCCACCATAAGATAGTACTGTCCCCAAAAGTACTATCCTATGGTGGACTTAATTAGCTTATTACTAAGCCCTAATACAGGTGCATGCATAGATGGTGATGATTTACTGTATAGCTAATTAGCCTACTCCGCAGTAAAGCACACATGCAGATGGACCCACTTGGTATCTTTTTAGTGCCTTTTCTAAGTTTATGCCTTAAATATAATGAGTACTTGGTGACGTACACAGGTGGATTTTACTAACTAAGGGACTTAGCTGCTATAATGTCAAACACTGAGAATCTTCAGTTTCCTTTTTCTACAGCATCACCGTGCGACTGTTTACTTGCATATGATGTTATCACTTGAGCCAAGTAATGTAGACCTCTGTTAGTGGTATAGATGAGACAGAGATTTCCACTCCTGTGAATGCAATATATATAGTCACATGTCTGTAATCTAGACCTCTGTCAGTGTTATAAATGACACAGACACACACGGCTCTATATATAATGTATAAATGCAATGCAAGCGTAATGTGTGTGTGTATGTGTATAGTTTAGACCTCTGTCAATGTTGTAGATATGACGTGTGCGTGCACACATGCACAGTACTGCTTGAAGAAAATATAATATTTTTCCTGAAAGCACTTACAAAGGACTTTAATATGTCGTCACACTGATGCAAGCTAAAGTAACTTTTTTGAATTTATTAGAGTTACCTAGCATTTATAACAGCATGATAGAGTTCAGGTTTGGATGCTCTCTTTGCCTATATGTAAGGGAGAGTGTGTGTACACACACACATCTAGAATATGCTATCCCAAGTCTGTCTTTATGGCTGTGTACTGTTATAATTACTTCTCGCTGACCAAGTGCTAGCTTTTCAGACTCCATTATGTTTACTCTGGTGCTGCTTGCCTTTTCACATGCCCCAAACAATTCTTCTGGCTTCCTGCATATCTCAGTACCCAGATTAAGATTCCCATCTCTCAAACCCTGCATTTATTCTTACCTCATTTTCTCTAGCATCTCTCTTCTGTGTCTTCTTTCTATGTCATCTTGCTGTTGTTCAAGGAGCCTGCTTTTTGGCAGTGTCTGACATCTGGCAAAGTCTCCCTGTTTTCTCCCATTTCATCAGCTCTCTCTCGAGCCACAATTGAAAACAGCTAATCCCATTGTAGATCTTGTCATGTTCCAATCCGTTTGCTATACATTTTCTCCTTCTCTAATTATATTCAGTTCTGTAAAGTAATTTAGTTTGTATGAAAGATTCTACTTTAATAGATGCACTGTAGTATCATCCAACTGTACCCATTGTGCCACGGGATATTGGGGTCTCATTACATGTTGCTATGCTATGGTCACAGCAAATTCTTGTAGAACGGTTTAAAAAAAATGAACCAAGTAGAAATGCTGTGTTTTCAGGCTGCCCCGGCTGCCCCCATGCTTTCCATCTGCAATGGTCTTGGCACACAGCTGAAGTTGTGCAAGCTTATTGGATTTGCGCCAGCATGGGACTGTACCAAATGTCATTTTGGAGAGACAGAAGCAAAACGGTAATATATTGTCACACCTTGATCAAGGGTGTAGAAGGGTCTCCCATCTGAGGAGGAGGATACCAGTAACAGAGGATTGACTCAAATTCTAAACACTCAGTCATCGATCTCCTCTCTGCAATCGTGGCTTGCAGACAATGGGGCATGGCAGCACGTGGTAAGTTGCTCATTTAATAGTCCTTCTCTTAAGGATTTTTTTTATTTGCTATGTAAAATCACATGGGGAGTTTCATACCTTGTTACTCATATTAAGCCTGTTCAGTCAGCAGAGGTTCCCAGTTTAGAGGCGCTGAAGAGTCAGTCCTAATGTAAGTGGAATAAACTTAGTAAGTGGATTGAGTTTTTAAAATACGTCCATATATACTACCAATGCAGCCATTTCCCTTTTGCAGAACGAAAACAGAAGAGCAGGGAGGTGGTGGGAAGATAAAGGACTCTTTTGAACGAGACACTAAACCTTAATCCCAAAGGTTCTATTTGTGTAGCACAAATGTTAAAGTTTAAGCAAAACTTCATCACTGCTGCTGTTGTTGCACAACATTTGGGTACAGCCCTCCTCCCAGATGCAAGGATACTCAATTCTGTTGTTTGCAAATTGTTTATAAAGTATTCTGTATTCCTTCAAATGTGGAGGTTAGGGTAAAATTTGAGTGACATGTAGCTTGCCCTTGGGTTGGGGAACAAGTCAAATCTTTCAAAGATTTTCTTTAGGTCGCAGTTTGGAATGACAATGACTTTGAACCAAGCCACCGTAAGAATACTTGACTGCATACATAAGCAGGCCCCGTAGTGCTGGCTAATTGCCAGCATGAGGAACAGAACTGTAAACTTGTTCTGCTGAATTGTCTAGTACTAAGTGTATTCAAAAGGAGAGCAGATGGGGCCTTGAAAGTATAGTTTTCACCCAAGATAAAAATTGCTAATGAATTTGTGTTTAATTTACAGTGCTCACTTACCATTGCCAGCCATCAGCAAAGAGAGAAATGTAGAGAAAACTATGAACTGAAGAAGGCTTTGGAGCTGCAGTGCTTGTTCCAAGATCCCAAGAGCTATTAACTCAAGAGCTTAGATTATTGCTCTTTTGACAGCTCAGTGCTATGAGTGTTGATAAAAGTAGGGTTAAATGTCAACTGCTCATTGTTGCATGTGCTGTTCCTGTTCTGTAAGCAATCGGTTTTTAGTGAGTGAAACAGATGAGTACAAGTACAGAGACTTGAAGAGTACTGAATTTCTGCACCTGCAATTTCCAGGACTGAGAACTGCAGTTGTGAAGGGACGGGGGGGGGGG